CATTCTTTCCTATCCTGGCATGCTCTTCTTACTTTGAACTTGACTGAGTTTCGTTTTACATCTGACATCATTTTGCTAGGTACAAGGGTTTCACAACTCATATCCACCTAAAGAAGATTCCAGATAAGCACACTAAGATGACTAAAACATAGAATTAGTGTTATTTAAAAAATATACTGAAAAGTGTCCTTATCCTCTCTTGAAGACAAATAAGAAACGAAAGAAATAAAACACCTCAGAAAATAAACCATGCTCATTTTCTCTGGGATAAATCACTGTTTATGTTGCACCAGGAAACCTGTTTTACTTATGGTTAAACAGGTCATTTTAATGTTTAAGTCTAGCTCCTAGGAAGTTCTTCCCCTTACTATTTGTGTTTGGTTCTTTTTATTTCTAATTTCTTAATGTAGTTGGTCTCATACAGGCTTCGTTTGAAAGGATGTTCAGCCTTGAAAAAGTCACCTGGTAAATCATTCCTGTCAAATTACAGCTTAAAGAATTTAAAGGGAAAACTGCTGGGGCCCACAGACTATACTGCAAACCTCTCATATGTAAAGGGCAGCTTCAGATTTGTGGCAACTCAATCATCCTAAAATTAGAGAGGTCATCCCCTGACATCTGCAGCAGAGGCCTGTTTAGAATGAAGAGTCACAGCAAAAAAGCTCTGCTTCATGGTGTTCTCTAAACCCTCATCTCCAGTTTGTATCTTATATTTGCTGTTGTTTCTGCTTCCATCTAAGTTCTGATCTTAAACTATGTTTCCCGACGCTACAATCAATGACTTCTCTGAGGCTTCCTTCTATTGCCCAGTCTCTCTTCTCTAAGACTTCTTCTATTTATCTGAGTTTAACAGTCTCTTTTGCCGATTTCTTTTTTCCTGTTTCCTCAAAAGGGTCTGCCTTCTCTGAGTTTCAGCTCTTGGATGTCTGGTGGTTTTTCTTTGTCCTCTAATTCATTTAACATCCCCCTTCATCTGTACCTCCAGGGTTATTACACAAATTCCCGAAGCTTTACTTCTTATTCACTCCACAAATATTCATTGAATAAATATTCGTTGACTCCTTTTTCTCTCTTACGCCCGCATTCAAACATCAAATTTTGTTGGCTCTACATTCAAATCTATCTGGAAATTGACCTTCATTTACTGCTATTGACTTGCTTAAAGCCTCCGTCATCTCTCTCCTGGACCACTACATTATCCTTCAAGTTGGTCTACAGGTCTACAGGCTTTCTGCTTCATTTCTCCACTCACCCTCCCTTATCTTCCTCTAATGTGGCAGCTGTGGACTCTGTCATCCTTTTTAAATCCTACTTCAGATCATGTCTCTGCTCTGCTTACAACCATCCAAAAGGCATTTCAATTCATCCAGGGTAAAGGACAAAGCTGCTACCAGGCTTTACCCTTATCACACTGTTTATCTGCTTGTCTCCGCCCTGCTTATTACCTCTCAGGCTTCATCTCCTACTATTCTTACCCATAGTCACTGAACACTCAATTGCCCTCTTGCCTCCTCATAACACTCCAGATATTTCTGGTCTCACGGTCCTTACATTTCCTGTTTCTTCTGCCTGGAACGCAGGTTCCCTGTACAGCATGGCCCCCTCTTTTTCTCACCACTTTCAGATCTTTGCTTAAGAATCATCTTCTCAGTGGGGCTTTCCCAGGATCCCTTACTAAGGTTTCAGTATACCTCCCCTCCTTATTGATCCTTCCTAGTTACGTTTCCTGACTGACTTTCTTTCTACCACTTACTACCATGACATGTTTATATGTTTCACCTGAAACTAAAGCACAATAGATTTTTGTTTTTTTCTGTCACTAATAAATTTGTTTTTACCAATATCTATCTAGAACAATGCCTGAGATATAGCAGTCACAGAATATTTTTTGAATGAATCAATGAATAAACAAATGTGCTACTATGGTACTTACTCTTCAATGATGAAAAATAATTGAATCCTGACCTTAATAGATAGACTGTCTAATAATAATGCTAAGAAAAGACCCTGTCACAAATGAGAGAGGTCTGCTTCAGAAGTTAAAAATCATGGAACAGGGACATCTCTACCCAGCCTGAGGTAGGGCAAGGTACCCCAGTTGGGCTTCCTGTAGGAGGTGGCACTTCAGCTTGACAGATTTTAGCCCGATGAAGGAAAGAGGACAGGTTTTGTCATCCTTTTTTTTTTTTTTTTTTTTTTTTTAGATATAGGGATAACATGAACAAAGGTATGGTTGCTGAGCAAATGCTGCTTCTCTCATTTCTCCTCAAATTTCCTTACCATTTCTGAGCATGTCACCCTGAATTCTTATGATCAAGAGTTATATCATTGGAGTGGCTGCTACCACAGCAGGTTGGGAATGCCTGGGAATTAATGAGTGTCCCTCAGCCCTTAAGTCAATGACTGATAGGTGTTGGGAATATATATCCCAGTTCTCTGACCCATTGACCAGGATATTTTTGAGTGATATATAGTATATCAATTTTGCGGGATTAAGCTCCAATTACCCACTGTGGTTGATTTAATTGGATATTTTCCCCTTCCTGTGTCATTTTAGTCTCACCTATCTTGTTTTCTCAAAACTCTCCACAAACTGCTAGTCACTGAATTTGGGCTCATGCTCGGAGGAACCCAAATGATTCCTACCTAAACTTTAGAGAATGAAAGTGACAAAGTATTTGGTCTGCTTTAGGAGATAATAAAGCAAACTACATTGGTTGGGTCTAGTTTGGCATGAAGGGATCTGAATACTATGTTAGGGAATTTGTATTGTTTCCAAATCTCTTATGAAATCTGTTTGGGGATGAAGCAAGCAAAAGGACATGCGTATGATTCATCTAGTTGTGGTATATAGTGGTATTATACTGGTGGTAGGGAAAGTCTACAGGAAATGGCCTAGGATACACTCAAGAGTGCATTAGTTAGTGAGGTAGCAGTGAGAATGGAAAGGAATAGATGAAGACAGAACATAAAGGGGAAAAAATGACAAAATTTGAGTCCAGCTCTGTGAGCTGGCGGGTGTAGGGGATAGGAAGAGAGAAGTAAAAATGTCTGAGGGCACATGAGTTAGAGAGCAGTAGTATCAACAGAGATGAGGGAGCTGACTAGGATCTGGATTTGATGAGTTAAAAGACATATCGGGCCAGGCGTGGTGGCTCACGCCTGTAATCCCAACACTTTGGGAGGCCGAGGCAGGTGGATCACGAGGTCAGGAGATCAAGACCATCCTAGCTAACACGGTGAAACCCCATCTCTACTAAAAATACAAAAAAAATTAGCCAGGCCTGGTGGCAGGCGCCTGTAGTCCCAGTTACTCCAGAGGTTGAGGCAGGAGAATGGTGTGAACCCGGGAGGCGGAGCAAGCTTGCAGTGAGCAGAGATTGCACCACTACACTCCAGCCGGGGTGACAGAGCGTGACTCTGTTTAAAAAAAAAAAAAAGACATACTGAGTTTGTGCCAATGGAACATCCAAGTAGAAATGTTCAGCAGATGGCTGGAAATATAAGAAAGCAGGAAGGAATTGGTTTCAGAATTGGGGCTCTTTCAGACTGTGTTAGAAGTGTCTAGGTATTTTGAAAATCCCAAAGAAATACTTGCTTTATATGAGTCTCACAGTACAGACATTGTGATTCTTAACAGAGAAGGAAGAATGTCAAAGTAACCTGAAATTATTAGTGGACTTTTGGAGTTTAAACACACACACACACACACACACACACACACACACACACACACACCCCTGTGATGCAGAGAAGCCGTTAAGCATTCATGAGGGGAACGGGGGTGCCAGCTTGTAGCTCTGCAAGCTCTTAAAGATACTGGAGAACCAAGGAAGCAAGAAGTCAGGTTCAAGGGGTTTGGCAATTACAGGTTTGGCTTTCTGGAGACAGATTTGGCCAAAACACCGGCCACTCATAGCAGAGTCCTTGGACTCAGAGGACTGATGCTGTTTGCTTTGTGCCTAGTTTTATGAAGCTGTACTTGCCACACATGAAAGGCTGTCATTAAGGAATCCATCTTTTAGCTTTTTTTCCCCCCTTCAGACTAAATAAACCTTATTTTATTCTTCTCACAGGTCATAGTTTCCATTTCTTTAATTATTTGTTACTCTTCTCAGAACTTTCTCCAGTTTTCCTCTTCTTTTAAAAAAGTGAGACCAAACCTTCAAAATAGAGTAATAACTGGCTTAGTTGTGGGCACAGGAAGTGATTCTTTTTTAAAATGTCACATCCCAGGCAACATTTCTTTGCAAGTTTTCCACCTGTTTCTAATGCTACCAAGATAAGATGAAAGCATTAAGTTCATGTTATCTTGATATGTTAATTTTAGACAAAATGTGATCATAATGGAATACATTTTTCCATAATTTTCGGTTTTAATTTCAAAGGCTCAGAGTTATAACGGGTGTTGTCTCAATTCTGTTTTTTTTTCTCATTTCACGAAAATTGAGGCAGGAGATTCCAGAATGGAAGCAGTTTGGTTCTCTTTCTCCTATAAGATAGCGTACGTCATTAAATGTATGAGGCAAAACTGTCAAGCTTTTTCTTAATTGTTCATTTGCTCCCACTCATTCCAACAAATTAAACCCTTGGCTAGTTAAAATGTGAGAACATAAAAAAGGGAATTTTCTTAGACATCAGTCAAAAATGGAAGGAGTGGCGGCCAAGGCTCAGAGACCTCGACCTCTCCGACCACGTCTTTAGGAGTAATTTTCCATGCGGACTGGAGGAAGATCTTGTAAGCACAGCCCTGGCATTACACACGTTGGGCTCTGATTCCGCAGGATTTACAAGCCTCATTACTGGAAAGAGTCTAAGGCTCTCTTGGCACAAGCGGCGGAACAAGAAATGTTCACTGGACAATAAAACTTTCGGTTTACGGAGTAAAATAAAAGCACGGCCTTCGTTTTACAGGGTGATGAACCTGCCCCTGAATTAATGAGGGGCGATCCATTTCCATGGCTTAGAGTCTGGCAAGGTTCCATTCAGACAAGATTGCGGCAGATCTGCAGTCACTTCAGACTGGGTGGGGTATCCAAGGCCATAGAAGAGCAAATTCTCACCCTTAGCAGCTGCTGTGGAAGCTACTGGGGCTGGGACAGCAGAGAAGAACCCAGACGGGAGCACCGCCCTCCCGCCAGATTCCCGGCGGCTCCTCCTCTCTCTCCCAAACCCACTCCCAAAGCTAAGGGCAGTCTTCCCCGTTCCAGGCAGAAGCGCTGCGTGAGTCTCCACACGTAGCCGCAGGCAGCTCCTTAAATAGCGTCCGAGCTGAGCAAACAGTCCAGACGTGGGGCCCAGGAGGGCGAGTGGAGGCGACCGCACCGGGCGCGCAGCGGCGGCGGGTCAGCGGGCGGCCAATAGCCAGGGCTCGGCCCGCCCTGTCGCCTCCCCTCGGGGAGCCTATAAGGCCACTGCAGCGCCCCGGGCGCCTGCTGCTCCGCGCCTCCGCCGACGACCTGACTCTGCTGCGTTACGCGCAGCTCACGCTGCCGGCCCCGCGCCTTGCCCACCCGCTCCCGCCCGCAATCGCTAGCCCAGGGCGGACTCGGGTGTCTGCGCTCTCGCGAGAAGTGCGGCGCTGCGGGGCCGTGGGCGCCTGAGCCCGCGCGGCCCTCCAGGGCCGAACATGGGGGTGCGCACGGTGAAGCCTCAGCTGCTGCTCCTGGCGCTCGTCTTCCACCCCTGGAATCCCTATCTGGGTGCAGACTCGGAGAAGCCCTCGAGCATCCCCACAGGTGAGCACCCTGCGGTGTGCCGCTGTCCCGCGAGGTTCGGCCGGCGGGGGGGCAGTTCATTCATCCACCATCCCTTCCGCGGGGCTGGCCAGGTGAGTAGTGGGGGCCTGTCCCTCCTCTCCAGGACCGCCGGGGTCTTCCCCAGAATTGCGGTCGGGCGGCGCTGGTCCCAGGGGAAGTGTAGGGGCACCCGCGCTCGTTGACTCCTTGGAGTTCTCGGTGAACTCAGCTTGCCCGAATTTCCCTGCAGAACAAGTTGGAGTTTCCTTTTGGACTTGCAGGTCATGGGCACAACACCTTTCCTGCAGCTGTCCTTTCTCTTTCCTCCTGAGAGTTGGCATGGATTTATCCGTGGTGGACGAGGCAGTACTCCTTCTGTGACCTAAACACGGGGCTTAGTGTACTTTCTAATTGACGGTGACACATTCCTTCCAGCACCCCAGGAAGCAGCCGGTAACACCTCCCTCTTGCCAAAAACAACGCTTGCTCAGAAACCTTAGTTGTTTTCAGTAAGGCTGCCTGGCTACCCAATACCTCCAGGCGGCAGCTTTCCTCCTTTGGGATCTGAAGGGGAAGCTGTGGATACACGGCTGCTCCCCTTACCTACCCTTTTCTAGAGCCCGGTGCTGTTTCTTGTTTTCAGAAGCTGGAGCTGCACGAGAGTCTAGTCAAGTTCTTGTAAAACAAAACTTTTTACATTCAGCCAGATTAAAGAGAGTTTCACAACGTTTGTCTAAACGTGCTTTGCTGCCTTTTGTGGCACATGAAAAATCCTTGGAGTTTTCCACATTTGTGCTCTTTGTGCTCAACTCTCTATAATTAGATCTTGCATTTGAATGACCTTCTAATGTCCTTTTTTTGTTGTTGTTGTTAAGTCATTTTGGCATCTTTTTTTCTCCCAAGTTAATAGAGTGCTTTTCTACTTGAACTTTTCTTAAGCCTAAGGACAGAAATTTCTATTTCAGAGTTACATTCAGAAAGTGACATTTGGTCTGCTGTCCAGCTCATCCATGTAGCAATAGTTTTGTTTTCATCTTTAAGTGTTTCAGATAACGTCAGCAGGCTGAACTGCCCGTCTTTCTACAAAACAGTGCTTGCTTTGTTAGCTTGAGAAACTTCAGCATTCAGATGGATTTCTATCAGTTACAGGATGCTTTTCTTTCTGTTAGGTATATGTGACCATTTAAAATGGATTTCTGAACCCGTGTGAGTCCTCTAAATTTGAACTAAACTTTTGCATAATTTAAAAATATTTCTTCTAGCATAATATCTAGAAAGTAGAAAGTAAGTGCCTTCAGCAAATTTGAAAGTGGAGACAGAGACATTTAAAAAGGAAAAACAAAACAAAACAAAAAGACTTCTCCAGAAAAATGTCTTTCTTTGTTGAAACACCCAAGGAAACTTTAATTGGGAAATAAAACAATCTCTAAGGACTTCGTTATATTTAGAGAGGCCTGTTTGGCCTTTGTATATTTTATTCCACTTGATTGCCAACACCCCTTACTTTTTAATAGAGGACCTCCCTTTGTAGCTGCCTTTGTGTTTATAGTCAAAATCGACTTCCCTTCTCACTCTGGATTTTAAATTTCATGGAACTGGACAGTAAACTTTTAATGGATTGTGATATCAGAGAAAGAGAATTTTAGATATGAAAGTTTCCTCAGGAAAAGACCACATGAAACCCACTGTTTAAATCTGAGGACTGGTCACTTTTGGTAAGCAGGCGGGAATTCGGTTAGGATCGAAATGTGGGGAAATACTAATTTGTGATAGGTGAAGCCAGCACTAGTCAGTTTGGTTACAAATTTCGGTGTAGGTAGATGTTCTTGTAGGTTATGTGATAAACTAATAAACGTAGAGGTGAACTGCTTGATAAGGTGGGCAGAATCACGGACTGTGGTCTATATTATTCTTTACATATTTCAACTGAAAATTACTGAATAGAAACCTATTTGTTGACATAAATACCAAGATCTTCTATAGGACCCTAAATTGTCTAGCTTAATAGTTCTTTAAGAAGAGTGCTTATCATCTCTAACCCTGTATATTTGTCAACATGTCCCAACTAACCAAGAAGAAATGATTTAGATCACAATTTCTTGGCCCTATTGACATTTTGAGCCAGACACTTCTTTGCTTTGGGGAACTATGCTGTGCATCGACGTTTAGCAGTACCCTTAACCTCTGTGCACTAGGTGCCAGTAGTATTTCCCTTCTAATCTGAGCACCAGAAAAAACAAACAAACAAACAAACAAAAAAAGGCCAAATGTCCCCAGAGGGACAAAATTTTGCCCAGGGTTAAGAATCATGGGATTAGACAAATCTATTTGTATTTGAGGCAGTGTGGCATTATAGCGTTATTGAAATGATAACAGCAAATCATTTTTGAAAACAAATATTTATAATGATTTTCAGTTTACCCACTGTAGTTGGGAATGTGACACACATTCATCAATTTTTGGAGTGTAATTTTTCCTAGCTCTGGTGCTTTGTTGACCAGAGTTGAGCTCTTAGCTTTTTGTTACATTTTTGAGAGTTCTGTGTGCTGTGTTGGTTCCTTTTGGTTGCCACTTTATTCTTAGCATGGAAAGACTAAATAAGATTTTGGTTAAAATGATCATTTTCTCTGAAAATAATGTATAGGAATTGTTACCTGAAAATCATATCCTTATGGGAACTTTCAGAGGCAGAACCTTCCTAATCAGTGCCAGTAAATCAGGTTCATACCCTGATTTATCTTTCCTGCCTTTTCTGCCTTCTAGGTGGAATAAGGAGAAGGTGGACGTATTCCTGCCAAGTCTTTGCTGTCAGGTCTCTAGACGTGAATCAAATTTGTGTGTGTTTTCTGAGGCACCTTACTATTCTATGATCCAAATTGGGCAGAAACCAAGTTTTGGGCAAAAATAAAGGAAATGGTTTCAAATGTTTCTGTCAAGACCAGTATTTTTCTACCACATTCATTCATTTATAAACTCTCTAATTTACTGTGGTACATTCAAGGAAAAAAGGAAAGATTTGTCCCTATCTACTGATGCAAACCAGCAATTTACGGGGTGGAGAGGAAAAGAGCAAGGGCCTGGAGAAACCTCTGGAAGAGAGAGGGTCTTGTCCTCTGTACTTTCTGTATTCTGTGCTTCAGCCACACAGAATGACATATCATCCATAAACAGACTGTGCCTTTTATTTCACATGAAAGCAGACATATAAAACAACTCTAGAGAATGTGAAGACAAGAAATGAAAATTAAATTGAGCTACACTTTTCTATCCATCATATGGGACAAAGCATCTTAAAATAAACTCTGATTGTACCAAATGTCAGGATGGGAATTGACCGTTGGTGGAAGCACAGTGTTTTTGGAGAACAATTTAATAATGTCTACTGGAATTGAGAATCCACATGTTCTGTAATCCTAGATATGTACATGAATAGCTGTCTCAAATTTCTGTTCCTTTTTAGTTTTTTGAAATCCTGTTTATTGTTGAAGTCTAGCTCCTAGGAAATTCTTCCCCTTGCTGTTTTTGTTTGGTTCTTTTTATTTTTAACTTAATGTGGTTGGTTTATACATATCATATTTACTTTGTACTATAGGTCCTTATGTTTAATACATTATAAACTCTTTAAAATGAAGGGCTGAGTTTTATTCATTTTTATGCTCTTCAGGGTCTACACTGTACTTTTGCCACAGACATTCTCAGGTTTTGTTTACTGAGTTTCTGGCCTGTTCTGAGAATTATGAAAAGTAGCATGCAATCGATGAGGTTGCTGGTTTCTCCTTCCCCCAGAACTTTATCCGAATTCACTGAGCTTCCTTTCTCTGCTTGGGAACCCATACGCTACATGATTTAACAGCTTACAAGTGCAGTATCTGCTGCCTTGTTTCTGAACCATGTTTGGCAACCCTTCTCCACGGGTTATATTTCTCCCTCTACCTGCTTTACTCAATACAAAGTGGCAGCTGCACTATTACTTTCAGGTAGTTGGGTGCCGTAATTTTTTTTATTGGTGGTGAAATGGAGATTTGGAATGGTTGCGTAACTTGCACAAGCTCACATAGCTGGAAAACAGTAGAAGAGGAGGCTGTGCCCCTTCTTCAGGCTGTGCTTGTCTTTCCTGACCTCTTAATTGTTCTCTTGGACTTCTGGGACCTATGGGAAAGAAACAGAAACTGGCCATCAGTGACTTAGAGAAAGAAAAGGAAAGCTTTGCTAAAAGGGAAGAGACATAATTTGCAGGTTACATAAAAGGAGGAGAAAGAGTAGGCACAGGCTGAAGGAAAACTGGGCCTTAGGCAAGAGTGGCAAATTATGGCCCATAGGCCAAATCTAGCAGACCCCTGTGTTTGTGTGGTCTGTGAACTAACAGTGATGTTTACATTTTTAAATGGTTGAAAAATATCAAAAGGAGAATAATATACTCTGAAACATGAAAATTATATGAAATTAAAGTTTTATTGGCTCTCAGCCAAATTCATTTGTTTACATATTGTCTGGCTGCTTTGGTGCTACAAGGCAGAGCTGAATAGTAGTTACAGAGACTGTGAGGCCTGCAAAGTCTGAAATATTTACTAGCTGGTCCTATACAGAAAACTTTGCCGAACCTTGCCTTAGGAGATGACATTCCCACTTAAGCTGTGGCTCATGCCGATCTGCTGCTCTGTGGGAAGGAGCTGGCTTCTGGACAGTAGCAGCTGGCTCTGGGCATTTCAGAGACCTGTTTTTCATTTTAGAATTTGCCAGTGATTCCTATGGTGTTTTGCATTCAAACATAGAGCTTCTCTGTTACATCTTTTTAAACACAGCACTTGAAGCTAACAAGACATGTTCTTTGGTGTAAATAGTGTTCTCATGATAAAAAATGATTAAAATACTGATGGCTAGTTGGAAAGGAGATGCAAATTTCTTCTTCAGAGCTTGAGTATATTCTAGAAATTTGTTCTTGAAACTTCGTTATGAATTTGTGGCTGAGCTCCTGGGAGGAAATAGTTAGCATGTTGATC